AAATAGTTTTTGCTAAATTTGTTCTTTCAAGAGGGGGGTCCATTGGCAAATGAAAATCTTGGGTCGTATTCTGATGCAATGAAGTTGAGTTAGGAACTAGTCATTGGATTGTTTCGGCACATTTCCAAATAACATGCTACCACCTCCTTTTTCAATCCACTTCTGAAACTTCGTCATGGTGCTAAGGTGAATTGCAATTTCTGGACGTCTTGAAGGCATCCATTGTTGAGGTCCATCTAAAATCGAATCTAAAACTGGCACAAATAGTCCTCATTTGATGGTAGCAACAGAGTCTGGATTTGCAATACAACCGCTACAGTGATCTGCAACCATATGGCGTGTTCTCCACCAGCCCTATTCATAATGTTTAGCAGGAGTTCTCGAGTGAATTGAAGCAGTTATCGTATACCGTATTTTTCGCTCTATAAGACACACCAGACCACAAGACGCACCTAGCTTTTGGAGGAGGGAAACAAGAAAAAAAATATTCTGAACCTCAGAAGCCAGAACAGCAAGAGGGATCGCTGTGCAGTGAAAGCAGCAATCCCTCTTGCTGTTCTGGCTCCTGTGATAGCTGCGCAGCCTGCATTCACTCCATAAGACGCACACACATTTCCCCTTACTTTTTAGGAGGGAAAAAGTGAGTCTTATAGAACAAAAAATACGGTAGTTGTTTTCCCATGTCAATCAGGAGACTAGACATGGAAGAATTCAGGACAGGATACTTTTGACTCACGTGGCTTAATGTTAGGACTGCAGAATGCAAAACTCACCACATGAATTCCAAACTTCGGGCAACCACCATTGGCTTTTCTGTGCATATACAAAAAAGTGTGGCGATTCTAGTCTACTTTTGAAATGTCACTGATAAAAGGTGGTTATGGGTGCAGCTGGAAAATAGAATTTCACCCATCCTTTAGAAACTGCCCAAGAAAGAGAAATGTCTGTTGCTCAGTGGTAGGACAAGAATTTTACATGCAAAAGACCCAGCATCTCACGGTGGGACTGAGCATGTTCTCTGTCTGAAATCTTGAGCCACTGAAGTCAGTTTGTACACACTGAGCTAGGTGAATCCATGGTTTGGCTGGGTACACAAGGCAAATTCCTATCAACTTCTGAATGTACAACATGGCACAAGATTGGCATGATGGGTACAATTTTGTTTTCACAGTTCCGCCAGACTTTAGCTACCTGCCTGAGAAAAGTTTCCTGAGGGCAGCCATCGACTTTGTTATCGAAAGCGGGAAGAAAGGTAAAAAGCAAATGTCAATATTGGGAATACCGTGTTTTTTCCGTGTATAAGACGGCCCCTATTTTTGAGAACCCCAAATTAAGAAATCAGTATTTATTGAACTGTTGAGCTTCTTTGAGGAGAGTTAGCCAAAGTTGTTGAGTTGTTTAGCTCAAGGTGTGTGATCATTTTTTACTGGCGACTTTGAGAATGTCTAAGCTCACACACATTTGTGAGGAAAGCTCTCACCATACTTAACACCCCCCTTTTGCTTTCTTTTTGGTTGGCTGCTATAAAAGATAATATTTTCTTTGGATTGCTTACAAAAACAGATCAAAGCCTTTTAAAAATTTGATTTGGTACTTTTTTTTTTTTACTATATGTTAGAATAATCCCTCTAGTACGCCAAACTTCTGCATTGCTTTTTAAATGTCCTTGTTTATTTTGAGGTCTGAGATGAGTTGCATTCATTCAATGCTCCAATAATTCTTCTTTTCTTTTCTTAATTCTAATAAAGGGTGTGCTTCCTTTTAGTTTTGGGGGCACAAAAGGGTTCAGTTTAAAAAAACAACCCAGTAAAATTTAGTTAAAATTCCATGAAAAGGCTTCCATTGCTAGTATTTGTTCTTCCGGGGACTCTAGTTGAGATATTGTAGGAAAACATTCTTTAAGAAACAGATAAAACTTCCTGGAAACTTAAAGAAGGTTCCAGAATTTTCTTTAGTGTGTAGGAGTGGCACTCTAAGTTTGATTGATGTCAGCTGGAGGTGCAAATATGGGGAGTGTGCTGGTCCCGTGGGTTTCCGTGAGGCAAGGTCCGAGTCCAGTCCGAGGTCAAGCTAGCAGTATTGAGGCCGTCCGTCAAAGCTGAAGCTGTGTCCAAGGCAGGGAGTCGGGTGAGGTCAGGAGATCCGGCAGGACAGGGCGCAGGCAGGAACTAGCTACCAACAACGTTGCTCCCACAACTTGGGACTGGGGCTGGCTGGCTTTTATCTGCCCCGAGGCATAGGGCAGCTCCAGTCCACAGGTGACTCGCCTCTCCTGGCCTGGAGGCGAGCACTCCTCCTGCGGGAACTTAGTTCCCTCTGCCTCTCTGCCCTGAGCCTCTGCAGCTCAGGAGAGGCTGGAGGGTTACCGGACCCAGAGGCAACCTCAGCTTCCCCTGACACGGCTGAGAGTGGAGCACCTGCAGGCAATGGGTCCTCCATCACCCCAGGAGCCAGCGCAGACTCAGCTGATGCCTGCACCTGAGGATCCAGCACAGGTGAGAACCCTTCAGGCTCAAGCCCCAGCCCCGGCCCAGCTGGTTCTGGAGGTGGGGAATCCTGTGCAGGCTGGGATTCCTCAGGTTCAGCCTCTGAGTCCGAATCCCAGGCCATCACAGGGAGGAAGTTGCAGGCTACAATTTCCGCACGAGGAAAGCACACACACATACTGAGATTATACCTTACTGGAGAGATAAAGAATGAATGTAAATAGCTTGTATATAATAGTAGCAGAAATCCTTGTGCAACCAGTCAAGCAATAAAGAAGCTCTTGACTGTGAATTTGAGTATGACTCCTGTTCTTGTCCTCTGCCTCTGGGGAAAACTCTGCTACAAACAGTCAGAAGTGGTTTTACCGAGGTGCCACCACACTAGCAGAAAATCCATGTTGTGGTTTGGTATTCTCTTTCAGGCCCTGAACAAATTCGGCCTCACTTGGTCAAAGCAGCTATGGCTCCCATAGCATTGAATGGAGCAAGCTACCAGTACCCACCTGTGAACTGGGCATCGATTCTTTCCCCTCTCCTGAGACTAAATTTTGGTAAGTTGTTTAAAAAGCAATTTTAAATAATAATAATAATAATAATAATAATAATAATAATAATAATGTGCACTGGACTCTGTCAGTGTTTCCTTTTGTGAATAAGATCTATTTGTAAAACTACATTTTTGTGGTATGGTTAGTAAGCACTTAATTTGTTGCAAAGGCTTTGTGTCTAGCGACTGCATTTGTGAGATGTCTCCAGTATGCAGCACAGAGTGCTCCGGTAATTATGTTTTGCTTCCATTGCAGTGTTTAGCACTTACGTTTTGTGGTTTCAACTTAAATTGAATTTTATTGTTGTGTTACAGAACAGCAAGCATCCTTGAGGATAGGTCTTTAAAAAAACAAAAAACCCTGCAATAGAAATACATAAAAGCAGCAGAGTTCTGCTCTGTTCAGCAGTTTCAAGCTGTTTTAGCTTTTGAGCCAGGTCAGCCCCACAACAAGAGAGGTGATCTTCTACTGCAGACAGTTTTCTTTATTTCCTGATTTGAGGAGGGTTTCAACCAAGGGGTGGTGGTAAATCACCCCAGCAGAGACTTTATTGCTGCTTCAGGTGCAACCCCCCCAAAAGAAATATTCTATGTTGTTAGTTTATAAATTTTAGCCAGTTTAAAAGGGGTTAAATACCACCTGTAGAACATCTTCATAATATTTTCTTTGATAGTAATGCATGCGGTGAAATTAATATCTGATTTCCAAAGTTTTCCCCAGTGATCTAATGAAATCTGTGTTGGAGATATAAGGTATCAGAGGGATCCTTATATCATGTCTGGTGGGGATGTGATAAAATTTTAAAAAATGGGGGAAATATACATGAGGAATTAAAAAAATTTTTTTTAAACAACAATTGGTTAGAAACCAGAAACATTCCTTTTAGGAATTATAACAAATGACGTCCCCAAAGACATGACGATAATCTTTTTGGATGCAATAGTCGCCGCAAGGTTACTGATTGCAAAAAATTGGAAATCAGAAGAAGTACCAACACTGAAAGACTGGCAACATAATTTTTTTGAAATTATTGAATTAGCAAAAATGACGGCAACAATTAGAATGCAATCTAATCAAAATCTCAAACAGGAATGGAAATGTGTAGAAGAATACATGACCAAAAGATGCTCCAACAAGAATTTATTGATATGTATAGGCTGATTTCACAAGGTTAAGTTTTGGTTGGGACTGTGTGCTATTCTGATTTTTTCCTTCCCTCTGACGTCAACCTTTGCTCTCCTCGTGTCTTTTAGGAGAAGAGATACAGCAGCTGTGCCTTGAAGTAGCTGTGACCCAGGCCCAGTCGTCGCAGAACGCTGCCATGCTTTTGGGCATGTGGGTAGCCCCGCCTCTCGTCTGCAGTCTAAGCGTACGTATCATCACTCTGCGGGCCGCCACGCCCAATGGCTGCCCTCCTCTCTCTTTGCCAGGCTCATAATCGGCACATATAAGTTTCCATAAAACGGAGTGCCTAAGGTCCTAGTCAAACGGAGTGTGGGGAATCATCTTGGTCAAGCCATGCCCATCTGCCAGCACCGGATGTCAAAGTGTCAAAGATGATGTTGGGTGCCAGCAGGGGAAAAGGCAGGTGGATGGGATCGAAAAAGGCTTCTGAAGAACAAGTAATCAGCTGATCATAGGGAGTCCAATGTACAGCACAGGACTCTTAGAAATCACTTGCAGAGATCCCTTTCTAGCGGAGGCGTAGTGGGAGGGTGTTGCCCTGGGTGCAGTTTTGGGGCTGGCTCCAGTGCCTTTTTCTATCTCCCCTCCTTCAAATAATAATTTGTTATTGAACAAATTTAATGGGGCATTATCAGTCCAGTCCAATTCCTATGGACACAACTGAGAAAAGATTTTGGATTTGTAGGTACTTAACACTCACAAAATATCATTAAAAGTTGTGTGGTTGTTTTTTGTTTTTTTTTAGAAATAACCCTTTAGCAAAATTACTATTCCTTAGAGACTAACTAAGTTTGCTCTGGGTATAAGCTTTCATGTGCATGCACACTCCTTCAGATACACTGAAACAGAAGTCACTGGTCTGGTGACTTCTGTTTCAGTGTATCTGAAGAAGTGTGCATGCACACAAAAGCTTATACCCAGAACTAACTTAATTGGTCTCTAAGATGCTACTGGAAAAAAGCGTTAAATTTTTTTATTTACAGTGGTACCTCCGGTTGCGGACGGGATCTGTTTCGGAGGTCCGGTCACATCCCGAGGTTTCCGCAACCAGAGGACTGCTTCTGCGCATGCATGCATGGTGAAACCTGGTAAAATACTTCCATGTTTGCCGCATGCATCCCGAAGTTTATGTAACCAGAGGGTTATGTAAACGGAGGTTCGACTGTATTTCGTCTGCGTCAGACCAACACGGCTACCTACCTGAATTACTGTGTTTTTTTGCACCATAACACTCACTTTTTTCCTCCTAAAAAGTAAGGGGAAATGCCTGTGCGTGTTATGGAGGGTATGCCTATGGGTGGCATGCCTACGGATTTTCCTCCTCTAAAAACTGCGTGCGTGTTATGGTCAGGTGCGTGTTATAGAGCGAAAAATACAGTACTATTCCTGTAATAGAATATCACCTTCATTTACGTGTGGTATGCATACAGTCAAAGCTTGGTTTCCAAACACCTCCATTTTGGAACGTTTTGGCTCCTGAACACCGAAAACCCGGAAGTAAGTGCTCTGGTTTTCAAAAGTTTTTCAGAAGCCAAAAGTCTGATGCAGCTTCCATTTGAGTGTGTGAAGCTCCTGTAGCCAATCGGAAGCCGCGTCTCAGTTGTCAAACATTTTGGAAGTTGAACGGGCTTCCAGAATGGATTACATTCAACAACCGAGGTTTGACTGTATTCTTACAAAGAGGATGTTTGCCAAGAATATTAAAGTAAAACAAGCCATAGGGTCTAATAACATTTTTCCTAACGCTATGAGACAGTCCTTGTTGGGGTTCCCTCATACCTTAATATCTGCACTTTAGGCACAAGCCAAGAGATACCTTTTCACGTCCTTATCTGTGTGGATGAAACATGTAGCAGAAGACAGATTGCAGGCTTTCACAGAAGTCTTCATGGTGCAGCATTTTGAAGCAAAAAACCAGCCGCAAGACCTGGATCTTTGCTGGAGTATTTTGCAAGGGCTCAGCCAAGCCATGAAACTGCCTAGCTCTGCCCAGTACAGCTGGAGCTGCCTTTGCAGGACTGCAGAGAGGATATTTGAACTTCTGCCAAATGGGATTCGGGTAAGGAAAGTAAATATTTAAAGTATTAGGACGGTGTTGAAAAAGGGGCTCCTTTTAAGACAGTAAGAATGACTGAAGAACTGGGACAGCTACAGGGAAAATCTTTGGCCATGAAATCTGCCGCTATGCATGGGACAGTTAAAAACAGGGTTTGTGCACAGAAATACTGCGTTGTGGTACAGTGTCCTGGTGGATTGTTTTGTGTGTGTTTTTTTAAAGAAAATGTGACCAATTTGAGAATAATTTAAACAGCATTAGGAATGGAATCTGCTTCGCGGATGATTATGGAGTTGAAATAGACGATAAAATCTGGTTTCCGTTGCAGCAAAATGTCAACATTGCCGTTAGCTAGTTTTACTGCGTTTCGCTTTTAGATTATGCACTGCGGTGAGTTCATGGTAGAAACTGAAGTACAGGGTAAATAAAGAAAAAAAAGTTTTCTTTGGGACCCCATGCGGGTAGTACAAGAGGGGAAATGGACTTAAGACATGTCCAGTAATCACGTATTATTTAGTGTAAAGGTAAAGGGACCCCTGACCGTTAGGTCCAGTCGTGGCCGACTCTGGGGTTGCAGCTCTCATCTCGCTTTATTGGCCGGCGTACAGCTTCTGGGTCATGTGGCCAGCATGACTAAGCCGCTTCTGGCGAACCAGAGCAGCACACAGAAACACCGTTTACCTTCCCGCTGGAGCAGTACCTATTTATCTACTTGCACTTTGACGTGCTTTCAAACTGCTAGGTTGGCAGGAGCTGGGACCAAGCAACAGGAGCTCACCCCGTCGCGGGGATTCGAACCACTGACCTTCTGATCAGCAAGCCCTGGGCTCAGTGGTTTAACCCACAGCGCCACCCGTGTCCCATTATTTAGTGTAGGTGAGGCTTAATTTGAGAAGGATGGTATTTTGCAGGACCCCCTAGGGGTCTTCTGGTTTCATTTTCCATTGATATGCTTATCCACAATGAAATTGTGATGGCCTGGGATTCCGATTCGGAGGATGAAACAGAGGAATCCCAGCCTGCACAGGAGTCCCCGCCTCCAGGGCCGGCTGAACTGGGGCAAGGCCTAGATGCTGAAGAGCCTGCACCTGTGGCAGTGCATCAGGAGCTGGCCCCAGGTGAAGCCCTTCTGGCCCCAGAGGGGCTTGATGACTCAGTGGCCACAGGTGAGCCTCCTCCAGGGCCCAGTAACCCTTCGGCCTCTCCTGATCTGCAGAGGCTTAGGGCAGAGAGGCGAAGGGAACTGGTTGCCCCCAGGAGGAGTGCTCGCCTTAAGGCCAGAGGAGGCGGGGCTCCTGGGGACCGGGACCGCCCCTGGCCTTAGAAGAGGATAAAAGCCCAGTCAGCCCGGCCCCAGGTTGCGGGAGCAACGTCGTTGTTGGCTTCGGACCTTCCTGTGCTCCTGTTCCCTGCTCGGCTTCCTGTTCCTGACTATCCGGTACTCCTGTTCCCTGCTCGGCTTCCTGTTCCTGACTATCCGGTACTCCTGTTCCCTGCTCGGCCTCCTGTTCCCGACCATCCGGTGTTCCTGTTCCCTGCACAGCCTCCTGTTCCAGCATTCCTGTTCCCCGCCCGGCTCTCTGCCTCGGACCTTGCCCCTCTTCGTGTGGACTCTGCTACACCCAAGGTACCTTACCCCGGGACCAGCACAGTTTGCTCCCGCCACACCCGCACTTCCCCTTCGTAGGGGTGCGTTCGGGAAGAGCCAGAGGCCATGGCTGAACAGGCGGCTGCACTGGTGGCTTTGGCCCAGGAGAACCAGGCCTTGAATCACACCGTGCAGCAGCTCAGCGACGCGGTTGTGGCACTTCAGCAACGCTTGGAAGCCCTACCGGCTCCTGGGGCCGACGCCCGGCTCCGGGCAAGTACCCAGTGGCTTTGCCTGAGAAATTTGATGGAGCCCCGGCCAGCTTTCCCATGTTCCTGGCCCAGGCCAAGCTGTATATTCAGGGGCGAGCCCGGAACTTTCCTGACGACCGCACCAAGGTGCACTTTTTGATTAGTTTGTTAAAGGACCAGGCGGCCAAGTGGGCGTTGCCGTTACTCAGGCAAGACTCCCCCTTGCTGGCAGACTATACGGGGTTTTGCAATCGTTTGGAGGCCGCGTTCGGCAACCCCCAGAAAGAGAGTCAAGCCAACCGGGCGATTCGGCGTTTGAAACAGGGCAAGTCCACGGTGGCCACATATACCACGGAGTTTCGGCTGTTGGCACAGGACTTGACCTGGAATGACTCGGCACTGCGGGACCAGTATCTCGAAGGGCTTTCGGACGAGGTACTGGACCAGTTGGCCACAATGGAACGCCCCACCACGCTGGACACTCTCATTCAACGGAGTCTACAAATAGACGACCGGTTGGAGGATCGGCGTCAGGCCCGGGGTCGCCGACACTTCCAGTTCACGGCACCAGTTTTTTCCGGCAGCCCCACGGTCACAACTGATTTAACGGAGGAGCCTATGCAGCTCGGGGCAGTGCGGCCGCGCCTTACCCCGCAGAGAAGGCGCGGCGTCGGGAGGGAAATCTCTGTCTTTACTGTGGCGGAAGTGGACACTTCGCTCGGTCCTGCCCTGAGAAACGCCAGCCGCAGGGAAACCGCCAACCCCAGTAGCTGATGGCCCTAGCTGCCGGGGGTCCCAAACCGTACAGAATGGGCCCGCACCAATGGACTTGCAACATCTTATGGTTTCAGTACGTTTATACCCTCCAGGTGGGCCCTGGATCCTCACCCATGCTTTGGTAGATTCAGGGGCAACCCGCTCCTATATGGACGCTGCTTTTGCCGCCCATCATCAGGTGCCACTTGGAACAAGCCAGTACCGGTCCAGGTGGAAGCGATTGACGGACGACTTCTGCGTTCAGGTGCCGTTACTCAGGAGACCCAGCCCTTGGTCCTGTGTCTCCAGCAGCACCGGGAGTTGCGGACTTTGGACATTGCCTCTATGCCCCGCTTCCCCTGGTGCTCGGGATGGACTGGCTGGAAGCCCACAACGTTCAGATTGACTGGGTCAAACGGACCGTGCACTTCCCAGACCCATGTTCCCATGCTCAATCCGGGAACGCTGGCGGCCGCGCCCTCAGAGGAGGCAGCACCCACGCTCCCAGCCGTGTACCAGGACTACCAGGACGTGTTCGAGGAACGGGGGGCAGACCAGCTGCCGCCACATCGGCCTTTTGACTGCGGCATAGACCTCCAACCCGGAGCGCCTTTACCAGTGAGTCGCTTATATTCCCTAACAGAGCCAGAGCGCGAGGCTTTGCAGGACTTCTTGCGCAAGAACCTGGAGCGTGGGTTCATTAGGCCTTCCACCTCGCCTACCGCGGCACCAGTGCTTTTCGTTAAGAAGAAATGTGGGGAACTCCGCCCTTGCCATGATTACCGAGCCCTGAACAAAATTACCGTCCCAGACCGGTACCCCTTGCCCCTTATCTCGGAACTGCTGGAGCGGGTGCAAGGGGCACAGGTGTTCACCAAGCTGGACCTCCGGGGGGCCTACAACTTGATTCGGATCCGAGCCGGGGATGAGTGGAAGACAGCGTTTGGGACCCGGTACGGGCAGTTCGAATATTTGGTTATGCCTTTCGGTTTGTGCAACGCGCCTGCTGTGTTTCAACGCTACATCAACCACGTGTTTCAGGACTTGTTAGACAAGTACGTGGTGGTGTATTTGGATGACATACTGATTTACTCCCGTGACCCGGCTTGCCATGAGGGACATGTCCGGACCGTGCTGCAGCGCTTGCGTGAGCACCGTTTGTACGCAAAGCTCAGCAAGTGCGAGTTCCATCAGCGGACTGTGGACTTCCTTGGTCACCGGCTCTCTCCAGATGGGGTGCAAATGGACCCGGGAAGGTGACAGCGGTTCAAGAATGGGCGGCACCCC